TGGAAAAAACCCAAAAACCTTGCCAGGTATTTTTGTGATTTTTTTTTTTTTAATGGGAAAAAAGAAAAAAAAAATTAAGCTAAAGGAAGTAAAAGAGATTCAGAAACATTGTCGTGAAGTTCCTAGAAGATATAACAAAATATTAGAAAAGTTTTATAGCAAAACCTCATGGATATTGCTACCATTTCCTTACCATATGGGGAGCAAGAGGTATTCTCAGTTGGAATGCAGAAATACATTCAACCTGTCAGTATTGTTCAGTCTAGAATATCCTTTACAAATATGAGACTCTGCAGAATTAGTAAACATTTAAGGAAAAAACAGAAACAGTATCTAGTACTAAAAAATGGGAAATCTAATCTCTGAGGAATAAATATTTCTCTGCGGAGAATTTAAACTATGTGTAATTAATACCTGTGGAAAGAGTCAAGTATCTATGCAGAAATAACATCAAGTTTCGTGTTAGACTGCCTATGTTTGAAATCTGGTTTTACCACTTAACCATGTCTGTAGATGTCAGTGTCTCTAGTTTACTCATCCATAAAATAGGGGTAATAATTTTACTTAATTCATTAGGTTGTCTTGAGAATTAATTGAATTAATGAGAAATGCTTGGAACAATATTAAACATAGAGTAAGCACTCAGTAAACATTTTTATTATAATTACACAATTTGTTCCTAAAAATGGCTGCTACGAAAAAAGGACCAATTGCAAATCTTGAAGATTAAGAATATGATTTTTGAAATAAACTCAATTGGTAGGACAGCTTTAGCTGACAAGTTAGTGAGTTAGATGATCAAGCCGAGGAATTATCCTTACACTTGTCAAATGGCAAAGAAATAAAGACTATGAGAGGAGATATACAGAAGCTTTAATATCTTAACAGAACATCCAGATGAAAATATGAGAGAATGAAGAGAAAAAAAATATATTTTCTCAAATGAAAGGAGTGTTTTTGATATTAAAGAAAGACTCAAACATTGGAAGAGTTTACCAAGTGCTGAACAGAATTAATGAAAAAAGTTCCATACCTAGACTAACACTGATGAGTTTCTATAAAACTATGGGTAAAAAGGAAATTATAAAAGCTTCCAGGGGAAAGAAATAAAGTATCCAGTTAGGAAAACTTTGTTGTCTGTATACATTTATATAGCTAGATTTACTAGATTTACCTAATGAATTAAGTAAAATATCACTGAATATATTCAGTGATAGAGGGCTACAGAAAATAGTTTTGATATTATGAGGGGAAAATGATTTAGAACCTCAAAATTCTGTTTTTAGCCAAACTAGCTTCTAAAATTGAGACCCAAACAAATACATTTCAGGAACATATGTTTAAAGAGGTACTTCACAAAGAAGAAATCTGAATGACTAATTTGAATATGAAAAAGTGCTCAGCATTATTATGCAGGAAATGCAAATAAAAACTACACATGAATTCTAATGGCTAAAATGAAAAGAACTCATAAGATTAAGTGTTGGGGAAGATACAGATAGAGCAATTGGAAGGATCGTACATTTCTGGTGGGAGTGTCAGTCAGTATAATCACTTTGAAAAACCAGTGCTATCTACTAAAGATGAACAGACATAAACTGTATGAGGCAGCAGTTTTACTGCTGGTTATCTACTCAACAGAATTGGGTGTTCATGTTCAACAAAAGACAGGTACAAGATTATCTGTATTAGCTTTATTCCTAATGGACAGGGAATCTTCATCAAAAGTATAAATAACTGTGTATTGGTACACAGTGGTATATTTATATAATTGACACCAGCAATTATATTGATACTGGCATTGTAAAGAAGAAAATACTGCCACACAACAGCATAGATGAATCTCATAGACAAAATATTGAGCATAAGAAGCAAAATATATAAGAATATATACTATGTGATTCTACTTATCCGATTTATGGTATTAGAAGTTGGAGCAGTGGTTTCCTATTGGGAGGGGAAGTATTGACTGGGAATGGGACACATGAGAACATTTGGGGATTTTAGAAGTGTTCAATTATCTTAATAGGGTGATAGCCAGACACATATGTATATGAGATAATTTATTAAGCTCTATACCTATATACTTACTGTCTGCACACTTCACTGTAACCTATATCTCTATAAAAATGTTTAAAAAACACCAACTCATTTGTTTCCCACTTATCTGAAATTCTGTCATTATTATATACCAAATCCTTAACATATTCAAGGACTTTTATCTAGGTCTTGCATTCTTTTCCATTCACCTATTTTTGCAGGTGTACTTTTGATTTAATCATTGTTGCTTCATAATACACTTGTTTGATGGTTCACGTCTTTCCTGCTTATTATTCTATTGCGAAGTTGTCTTGAATATTCTCACCTTTTTATTATTATAGATCATCTGCAGCCTTATTTAATTTTTGGCTTTGTCAGATAGGCAAATTCTCACACCCCCTCAGGCTATTGATATTTTCATTGGAGACCATTGGCATCACTGGTTCAGTTCAAAAACGTTGTATAATCTCTCCATCTCTTTCTAGTTAAGTAATTGTTTTCATATGGCTCCTGCAAGTTAATTAGGTTTATTCTGCACATTTTTGTTTAGTATTGTGAATAGGAACTCTTTCATTACATTTTACAATCCTTGATGTAATATCCTTGATATTATTGTAACTTGTTTATTATAACAATAATACATACCTACTTGTTGAATGCTCTGTGCTAAAGAATCTTACTTAGTGTTTCTCAAGCCAGTCCCCCTCAGGTAAATACTGTTGCATTGTGCTCATTTTATATTTGGGTCTCAAGGGTGAATAGCTGGCTTGTGGTGGTTTCACTCCAGAGGTATACTGCTTACATACATTGCTCTGTTGGCCTAGGTGTCCTTCAGTGAAGGACAGATGTTTGGGAGGGGGCAGTGTGGGGTCACGTCCAGTATTGGTGGATGAGACTGACGTTACAGTGACTATTAACTGGATGCTTATCAGCAAGACCTGTACACTGAAGTGAATTTTTTTGTACATGCTTGTTTATATCTGTGAAATACAGTATTCTAGTTTGGACTTACCTAAGCCAAATAAAGTGTGTGTGTGTGTGTGTGTGTGTGTGTGTGTGTGTGTGTGTGTGTGTGTGTTTGCATGTTTATTATTTTATTTTTTATTTTTTATTTTTTTGAGATGGAGTCTTGCTCTGCCACCCAGCTGTGTTGTTGTGTGGCTGGAGTGCAGTGGTGCACTCTCATATCACTGCAATCTCCGCCTCCCGGAGAATCAAGCGATTCTCCCGCCTCAGCTTCCTGAGTAGCTGGGATTACAGGCAGCCACCATCATGCCCAGCTAATTTTTGTAGAGACAGGGTTTCATCATGTTGGCCAGACTGGTCGTGAACTCCTGACCTCAGGTGATCCACCCGCCTCAGCCTTCCAAAGTGCTGGGATTACAGGCATGATCCACCATGGATCATGGCTGTGTGTTTAATCACTGGTAAATAATTTAATGCTTATTTTCATGTATTCTCAGGGTACTTCCGTATTTACCAGATGATGATAGCTATTGTCTTAGTTGGTTCTGTGTTTGCAAGGAACACCAGCTGAAATAATGAGAGTTTATTTTTCCTCTACTCCTGCATGGCAGGGAGAGAGGTGAATTCTCATGGATAGCCAAGAGGTAAATCCATAGACTGGCCAGGACTTGTGGAGATTAAAACTGTCTCCCAGCATCTGGAGCTTTTGCCCTTCGCTCTCATATGCTTTTTTTTTTTTTTTTTTTTTAGATGGGGTTTCACTCTTGTTGCCCAGGCTGGAGTGCAGTGGCATGATCTGGGGTCACTACAACCTCTGCCTCCTGGGTTCAAGTGATTCTCCTGCCTCAGCCTCCTGAGTAGCTGGGATTACAGGCACCCACCACCATTCCTGGCTAATTTTTTGTATTTTTAGTAGAGATGGGGTTTCACCATGTTAGCCAGGCTGGTCTCGAACTCCTGACCTCAGGTGATTCACCTGCCTCGGCCTCCCAAAGTGCTGGGATTACAGGCATGAGCTACCACTCCTGGCCTCTTATATGCTATTTTTATCCTGCCTTAGCCCCTCTGCTTGTTGGTCTGTCCATTTGACTGTATCCTACCAACTCGTCTGGGTTCTCTGTGGTCCTAGGTGAAATTTCTGAGGGGGAACATTTGGTTGGCCTAGATATTTACTGTGTTTGTCCAAGTTTTTCATGCTCTGTGGGCTATTGGACAGACTGTTGGATTGGCTGCCTCAGTTAGTTATCTACCATAGTAGTTCTAGTTATTGTGGCCAGGGAGAGATGGCTGGTCATCTGGAACATGGCATGGTTAGGTCTCCCTCTTCAAGAAGCAAGGGTGATTTGCCCTAGAGAAAAGGAATATAGTCACAGTGTACGCTCTGATTACCGTGTCTAGTAACATTCATAATTTTCCTACTTTTTTCAATGAAATAGAAAGTGCCTAATAGTGAAAATAGCAGTTGCATTTAGAGATTGAGTAGTATCAGGAGGAAAACATTAAAGAGAATGCTTCTTGTATGCTTGGCAACAGTCTTTTACTTACTGCTTTGTAGGCTGGCAACGTATGTTCTTTTATCTCTTGTAGATATCTTAGTTAAAATATCTGTTTAGTTAGGATTGTTAAAATTTTGGATAAGTTTGTGATAAATACTAAGGAAATTTTTTTTTCTTAATATTTTAATAGCTAGTTTTGGCTTGAAAAGATAATTTTGAGAGTTTTGCAAACCTCAGGATTACCAAATTGCTTTGAGGGTATTCTCTTGTGTGTGTGTATGTGTCTGTGTCTGTGTCTGTGTCTGTGTCTGTGTCTGTGTGTATTTATATATATGTATGTTATTTAACCCAAGATCAGTGCTGAATTTATGGCATATCATGAGATGTTTATGATAGTAAATAATTTATGGTAAAACCAGAAAACTAAAATATTATATTTATTAATGTGTGGATATTGGCAATAAAATTGTATGTAAATACTTGTTAAATTGATTCTAGGTTGGGCCATGCAGGCTGCTGCCTATATCTTCATTCATAGGAAATGGAAGGATGACAAGAGCCATTTTGAAGACATGATTGATTACTTTTGTGATATCCACGAACCACTTCAACTCCTCATATTCCCAGAAGGAACTGATCTCACAGGTAAGGTAGCCTGGGTTTGGCAAAGTTAGAAATCACCTAGTCTAAACTTCTCATTTCTCAGATGAAGTAACCGAACACCAGCAAGAATAAGAGCTCTTACAGGTATGGTGGTCCATATCTGGAATCCCAGCTACTCAGAAGGCTGAAGCTGGAAGATAGACTGAGTCCAGGAGTTTGAGACCAGCCTGAGCTACATAGTTAGACTTCGTCTCAAAAAAAAAAAAAAAAAAAGATTAATGGCTCACTCCTAAGGTCACTCAGTTAATCAATAGCACGTCAGGACTCAGAACTCTTCGTTTCCAGCCCATTGAATTTATAATAGGCAACTCCAAGAGGTCATATTATTCATACTTGCCATCTTAGTACTTTAAGTCTCAGTATATATTTTAAAATATCAGGCTTTTATCTTTATGTAAGCATGGTTTTAAAGTCATGTTTTAGGTAATGTTGATCCTCTCCTACCTCTTGTTCATATTCTCTTATCCGCCTCTAAGGTATTTATTTATCCATTAGATTCTTTCTACTCCTCAACTTCTTCCTCATAAGAAAAAGATCTGTTAGTAACTAATTTCAGTAATTGTTGATTTACCTTAATAAGTTACCTTTCTCCTGACATTTAAACCCTATCCTTGCTATAGTCAAGGAAAGCTTTGCCCTTCTTCAAGAAAATTCAGCCATCATTGAGTAGTAGTGAGGACACAGGAAGACATATTTATAACTTATCCGCCTTCCTAAATATTAAACTTCTTTTCTTTTTCTTTTTTGAGCCTGTCCCCTAGGCTGGAGTTCATTGGCGTAATCATGGTTCACTGCGGCCTTGAACTCCTGGGCTCAAGCCTATAGTATCTGGGACTACACCAGAAACTACCACAACACCTGGCTACCAGGTATAAACCATATAGGCCAGGAATTGCCGATGGATTTCAAAAAAGTCTTACAAAGACTAAAAACAAAATGCCGAACAGTCTGTCATCCTTACTAAATCAATAGTTTTCACATTTTTTATTATTTTTGTATATGAAACCTTCTATCAAGAATATAAGATGATAAGATGGATACAAGCAGAACTTCTCTGGTTGATACTGGGAGGGGTGACGGTGGGGGCATAGCTTAGACAGGAAGTACTTCCATAAAATCTTTGGACTCAAAAGACTAAAATTTACCTTTAATAGCCCCGATAGAGAACTTCAAGAAAGATACAGCAGAATTTGAGAGGGTTTCAGTGGATCTTACAGCTTTGCTGTGTAAGGGAAGACAGGCTAAAGCAGGAGAGAACTGAAATCTAAAATCTCAAGTAGTATGGAGAGGTAGAACATGAACTTACCTTTCAAATTTTTGGTAATAGACTAAGAAAAGCAACTCTGAATTTAAGAGAGGAGAACAGGTAAATGAACATACTATTCACACTGTGGACGTAATTTATGGAACTCATTATTACAAAAGAGAATTCAAGATGAAAAGTAGACATTACATATGTATTTAAGTAAGTGAATAGGTGACTGAGCCATAATAAGTTGTTAAGGAAAATTAAGGTATTTTGGGATTTACCATAGGTAACAAGGAAGAGATCTTTGACACATCTGTTGCAGATGGAATTGAGCTAAGTGAACTGTGGCCCTTTTTATATAGCAGTCAGAGTTCTAAAATATATGCCAACTCTGTAGTACATATTTGATTTTTTATGGTTGAGATTCTAAAAGCGTTTGGATCACAGAGGATAATACGGAGAATAAAAATGGCTGCTTGTTGTTGAAGCTTGCAAATATATTATTGTAAATTGTAAGTTGATTCCCAGAACTAAATTCTCATTAGGAAATTATAAGGGACAGGCAGCCATATTTAAATTTTATAATATTTAGAATGTATAATACTTAAATTTGGATATTGAAATATCAGCTTTATTTAATAAATAAAAGAAACCCATTTACTGAAATGATAGATTCATATTTGTGAATGCAAAAATGTACATCAAAGAATGCCAACTTTGGGAGTTCTTTGGTAAATAAAAACAAATGAAAAAAAGGCCATATGTTACTGCTACATTAATGTTAATATGTTCATACATTAGACCTTCAGAATAATAAAATGTACATGTAAAATATTTTTCATCAGAGTTTCACACTTGTTGCCCAGGCTGGACTACAATGATGTAATATCAGCTCACCGCAACCTCTGCCTCTCGGGTTCAAGCAAGTCTCCTGCCTCAGCCTCCTGAGTAGCTGGGATTATAGGCATGCACCACCATGCCCGGCTAATTTTGTATTTTTCGTAGAGATGGGATTTCTTCATGTTGGTGAGGCTGGTCTCAAACTCACAACTTCAGGTGACTCACCTGCCTCTGCCTCCCAAAGTGCTAGGATTACAGGCATGAGCCACCACAGCCAGCCTTCAGGTTTCTTTTTATAGGTGCTGAACTCTACATCTAGTTGCATGTTTTTGGAGTCCAGAGTGCTCACCATTACATGATATAGCTGCATATATGTTTTAAATTCAAATGGTATTTACCTTTAAAACCAGACTTTGCCAAGGAGAAAAAATAAACTGATCCTGAAGCTTTTAAATATTTTTTATAGTATAATACAGATAATTTATTGAGTTGGCAAAAAAATCATTTTTAAAAGTAGGCTAACAAAATATCTCCAGTTTGGAAAAAGTATTCGTGAATTAAAAGGTGTTTAGTTACTACCATACTTAACTTTAAACTGTGTTTTTTTTTTTTTTTATGCTCAGGAGACTGTTTTATAATTTAAGTTCTGAATCTAGCTTGCATGTACATTTTCAAATCAATGCATTTAAATCTAATGTTACATATATTCTATCTTTATATTTTATTGTTGGTTATAACTTTTTAATGATAGATGTTAATTTGGAGAAATTTGGAAACACAGCAGTATGCACAAAACTTGCTACTGCCTATAAGTGAACACTGTTTTAATTTTGGTCCATTTATTTTTAGTCATTTGGTCACACACAGACATATGGGCACCCATATGTATTTATTCTTTATTCTTTAAAAATGTGTTTTAAAGGTTAGGGAGTTCTGTATTGTATTGGTATATTAGTTGGGGTTCTCTAGAGAAGGAGAATCGGTAGGATGTGTATATGTGAAAATAGGTTGAGATTTATTTGAAGGAATTGGCTCTTAGAGTTGTGAGGCTTGGTAAGTCCACGATCTGTAGGGTAGGTTGGCAGAGTGGAGATTCCAGGAAGTAGTTGCGGTTCGAGCCCAAAGGCAGTCTAGAGGTAGAATTCTTTCTTGTTGGGAGAGGAGGGAACTTCCCTCTGTCTTTTTCTGTTAAGGCTTTCATTCACCTGATTTGATGGGGCGCACTCCCATTATGGAGGGTCATCTGCTGTACTCAAGTGTACTAATTTAAATATTAGCCTCTTCTATAAAATACCTTCCCAGAAACATCTAGAATAATATTTGTCCAGAAACCTGAGTGTCATGGCCTATTCAAATTGCCATAAAATTAGCCATCACAATTAGTATACAATAATTTCGAGTTCCATTTCCCTGATTTGGAAAGAATCTAACAATTATATTATTGCATGTAACTTAACACCTGTATACATAAAACGTATCTTATTTTTTTGAGATGGAGTCTCACTGTGTTACCTAGGCTAGAGTGCAGTGATATGATTTTGGCTCACTGCAACCTCTGCCTCCCAGGTTCAAACGATTCTTTTGCTGCAGCCTTCCGAGTAGCTGGGATTACAGGTGTGCACCACCATGACTGGCTAATTTTTGTATTTTTAGTAAAGATGGGGTTTCACCATATTGGCCAGGCTGGTCTCAAACTCCTGACCCTTGTGATCCACCCATCAACCTCCCAGAGTGCTGGGATTACAAACATGAGCCACCGTGCCTGGTCAAACTTATTTTTTTTTTAATAAATATATGAGTGCCTGGATCTTTATCCCTACTTTTATGAAGTTTACGTTCTATGACGAAAGACAGATGATAAACTAATAAGTTAATAAAAATAAATCAGGTAGTCATAAGGGCTATGCAGAAAAATAAGGCAGGATCAGGAGATAGTCATAGAAGGGGTGTGGAGTGTTATTTTCTTTAAGGTGATTAGAGAAAACCTCTCTGTTAAGTTTCTACTTAAGTAGGGACTAATTGAACGCAGCGGAAAAGCATGCAGCTGTATGGGTGAAAAACATTCTGGGTGAAGGGAGGAGCAGTAACTGCATGGATCCTGAGGTGAAACATGCCCAGCTGGTTTGAGAACAGCTGCTAGTAGTCCCATGGGTGGGAGGAGTGCAGGAGTGGGAGAGTTACAGGGACTGATGTGACAAGACAGGAGGCTGTGGTCAGAAGGTGGGATGCTAGTGCACTTACTAGCAGTAACAGTCTGGGATGGGTAGACGAAGTCGGGGGTAGATGGAAAAGTCTGCACCTCTAATCTCTCTGTATTTCTGATCATTTTTACCTTCCCATATTGTGACTGTTTGTTTAAGAGCTGTTTGTTCTTGTACTCACATTCTACAACAGTTCAGTTTTGATTTCAGAATCCCCAGAGTTTTATAAACTGAAAGACCAAACTAAAGAGAAGGTGGTTACTACTCATCTTTGTGGTGTCTCTGGGATTCCTAATCCCATTTAAGGTCCTGTCAGTTGTCTATAATATAAATATTGTTTTGTAGCCCCATATCCAGGATATCCTGAAATGAATATGAGAGGAACTTACTACTTTTCATGTGTAGGGCCTTTACTTTTGACTTGCCTGGCTATTCCTCTATCATAAAATGATGTAACACCGTCTACAGCAGTGTTCTTTGAATATTTCCATGTTGTAGAAGGCATGTATGGTTTTTGGAGGTTTTGAGGACTCAGTGATCTTAAATTTACTCCTAGTAAAGTTGTATCTATATAAGTGTTTTTCTTGTGATTTGGAATAATAGTTTATAAATTTTTGAATGCAACTGAGGATTGTGGGTTCTAACATCTGCTGTCATCAGAAAGTATTTCATGATCTCTCCCAGCAGTTGAGGCCAAATTTCTGAACACTTTACTTTTTCCAAATGTATTTGCTGAATAATGGGTTTGGTTCTTCTTGGAACTTGTAAAGTTACCTCATGGAATGGAAAAATAAGTTTTTGCCAACAATTGGAACATATACTTGACTCTGTAACTATATTCAGCCAAACCATGTTCAGATGTTTGTACATGATGTGCTAATCATGTGCCCATTCTGTTATGGAGTGGTTTGGGTTAGTAATATTAGCATACTCTGTGCTTGAGCAAGGCAGATATTTCAGTTTACATTGAAGTCCTAAATTATTGCGTTTTTAAAAATGTTGATCTGATATATTTGATTGCTAGTTATTTTTTCTGGATGTCTAGGTCGTTATATTTTATTAGTGTCTTAGTTTTGTTTTATTAGCATTTTATATTTTAATATTTCAGTTTTGTTATATAGGGATTATTTTATAAAAAATTTAGTTTATTAGTATTTTAATTTTCATTGAATGCTGACTTTTATGAAATCTTTTAAAGAAGTTAAAAGATTTGAATATGGATTTCAGAAAATACCTAAAAATCTATTTATACCTTTGTTATAATTTTTTTAAATTCCTGTAAGTATAACGGAGCATCTGAGCTTTGAAACGCATTTTAAAACTTTTTTTCTTTATTCTTAGAATATAGCCTTGAAATGTACTTCAGACTCTGTTTTCCCCCCTTTTCCACTAGACACTTCCTTGCACCATGTATGGTTATCTACTGTATGCTTGCATAGAAATTCCAGGGGCTAATTTTGAAGCAAACCAGGCACGAAGCCCCTGTGGAACCCTCTCACTTTGGCGAAGTTGTGAACAATTAGTCCACTACCACTAGGCTGAAGTCAAAATAATGCCAAGTGGATCTCCAGATGACCAGTTACCCAAGATAGCCATCAGAACAAGACACACAGACCTTGTACCATTCCCACATGTCTCATACCAAGCTTTCTTTGGAAAACTCTATGATAAATTTTAAAACTTAAGATGGTACTATAGAACACCAGTTCTCTATCTTCATTTTACTGGCTCTCTGATTAAAACCTGCTTTCCCTCCCAGCAAACTTTGCCCCTTGTGTTTGGCTTTAGAGCAGCAAATAGCCAAACCTGGGTCTGGTTACATAAGTAGGTCTGGGATCTTGATATCGAACCATCTGCAATGTTTGTATCTTCTCATTAGACTCAGTATTCAGTAATTATAGAACAAATAACTGCTATTTTTATCAATAAAATTCTGCACTTCTTTCCTACCTGATGTATTTCCCTTTAGTTTATGGTTTCTAATGGTCCATTTTTTTTTTTTTTTTTTTTTTTTTTTTTTTTTTTTTTAGAAAATAGCAAGGCTCGAAGTAATGAGTTTGCTGAAAAGAATGGACTTCAGAAATACGAATATGTTTTACATCCAAGAACTACAGGCTTTACTTTTGTGGTAGACCGTCTAAGAGAAGGTAAGCCCCCATCTCAAAATGTACCTTTTTTATAAAAGTGACAAAAATTGCTAAACTTTATATATAGCCCTTTAGAGTTTGTAAAGGATTTTTAATACTTTATCTCAAATTGACTACTAACATTGACTACTTGGTATTTTTATTCCAAGTTGACCTATGTACTAAAATGTTTTGCTGTGTATTCTTTAGAGATTTAAAAGAGATCTCTGTAAGAAATTATTTCTCCTTTTTTGGAACCAACATAACTCTATATTACATGTATAGATAGATACACACACATATAAAAACACACACATATATAAAAACATATATGTGTGTGTATATATTTACATATAGAGTTAGGCTATAATTCCATGTTAGAATATTTCTCGAAATGGCAAAACTGTCTTAAAAGTATCTTATCACTTAATCCATTCCTTCAGTATTCGTGAAAAACAAACAAAAAAATCTTACCACTTTAACTATATGTTTGGCTCTTAGGATTTGAGAATATATCATTCTCTTGTTATTTTAAGCTATAACAATCTGAAAAATAATTTTATTTTAATTATTTCACTCACTCCACCCAGTAACTGGTTGGTAAGAAGGCAAGACTAGCATCCAGTGTGGTAAGTACATTTCCACAGGTCATGTGAGTCAGGAATAGAACCTCCTTCTTCTGCTTCCTCATTTCTGGCTCATATCACGCTTCTTTCAAGCTGTGTCTGTCTATTCAGGGGCATATATGAGCAGAAAGTGATTCCATTGATGATATCGCACCCATTTAAATGCTTACATTTTGATGTAAACAAAAACCAATTGTACTTTTTAATTATAGTTCTGCATATTTGCATGTTTATATATTTATACACATTTGTACACACAAGTAACACACATATGAAGAAAAGGTACTATTTGGAAACATAAGCCCACAGTCACATAAGAGAAGAATTGTGTTTGCATGTTTCTGCTTTCACTCTGATTTCTAGTAAGCCATATTGTATATTGGTGATCTCTGTGACAAATTATCACCTTCATCTGGTAACTGATACATTTTCATAAAACTGCTGTGCATAACATGAAAAGTCTTGAACCATTATGTAAGAAGAGATATAAAGTTCTTCTTTCCCTAAATAGCATCACTGTTGTTCTTTTAGTATTTAATGTACTTTAAGATAAAAAGTTTAACTTGCCAAGACAACACATATTTATAACCAAGTACCCCTGATTTAAAGAAAGGTTCACAGTCAATTCAAAATCATATGATATGGTAAACCAAAAATGTTATCTATATTAGTTTGGCTTCTTTTTTATATTCTATGATTACAATTAATATAACATGAACTTGTGAGCTTGATATTCATATGTATATGAGTGCCTGTCTACCCATAGAAGTTCATGGAGAATATAGTTCTTCATGCCTGTGGAGTGGAGTGGAGAGGCATGAAGACATTAAAGTAGTGATGCTTTTTTTTTTTTTTTAATTTGATACCATTTACTGTGGCATGTAACTTAGACTCACCCTTCTCATTCAACAATGTTTTTCTATTTTAAAGTATTTAATGAATTCTTTAAAGGTATTTATAACATCATAGAACAATCTCTAGAGCTCTCTTTTGAAACCTGGAAAATATTTTAGTAGCAAACTGAGTTATAACTTGGTGAATGGGTGTTACTTAGTCATCACTTCAAGCACTAGTCAATAGCCACAATATGTAATTTTTCATGCCAGCTGGTCTGGGCAGTTGGTCTCCCAACATCCCTTCTGTATCAGTAAAAGAAATACAGATGATTCCATTTGCTTCAGTTAGAAAACTACAGTTAGATGATTTTGTTAGAATCATAGAAAGGGACTTGTATACTATAATAATAAAAATTAAAAATATGATGAGGATAATTACAATAGTATAGCAGCTAACATTAACTGAGCATTTACTAGGTACCTGGCATTATGCTGTGTGTTTTATATGCCTGTGATCAATTAATCTTCATAACAGCTGTATGTGGTAGTTTTAAATATTTATCTCATAGTGCAAAACTGAAGCAGAAGTTGAGATAAAGAACCTCATCAAAATTATTGGAATACAGTTCGTCTAACTGAATAGCTCATGTTCTTTCTACTGTAACTACTTGCTGCTTATATTTATAGTATGAATTTAGTTAAAAAAAAAAACTCCAGATTATTAAGCACCTTCGTAACACTAGTGAGCTGGAATATTTTCTTTAAGAGTTTAATGAAAAAAGAATTTAAAAAGAGGCTAAATGTCCAGAACACAGAGAGATGGTAGTCACAAGGCAGGTGGTTGTGATGCTGCCTGAGAAGATGGAGGAGCAGAGCAGGCAGAAGCTAAGGAGACATCAGTTGGGGAGTTGAGGGCCACTTTTGTTTCTGGGGAGTTCAAGTGAATTGAGGGAGAAAAAGTTTAATTGGTGATTGGAGATGAGGAGGATCTTAGAGGTCATCTAGTCCAGACTTCCCTTTTAGAACAGGAATCCAAGACTCAGAAGGGGGCCCAGCCTGGCTTTCTGATCTTTAAGCTCATGTATTATGACTTGAGATCATCATATAGTTTTGAGTTTTAGGTGTGAAATACTTGTTTTTGAATTCAAAGCAAGCAGTTTATATTTCAATCCATATTTAGCTCATATGCTTAGATTCTAAATATAAAGGAATGAAGGATGTAATCTTTCCACTATTACTCTAGGGGGATACAGGGTTAACCACTAAATAAAAATTAAATTCCCACTATGTAATTTGGATCAGCACACCTGAACAAAATTCTTCAGTTTGTATTCAGGGGGAGAGAATTGCTGACTTAACACACAGATTACATATATAGTGTCTAATAGCCCTGCTTGTGGACTCTCATGTTTGTCTGCAACAGTTCTGATTTACTCTGAGAAAGTTGATAGCTACCTAGGAAATAAAAACAGTATACCAATCATAGACAGCTCAGTCTTCAACAGCATTGTTAGACTATTTTAATTTCATAGACTTTTGCTCAGTGCACAACTAGCTAACAATCCAGTCTGTTTGTTGCCTGCAGTGGAGGACTAAAGATGGCCCACAGAAACCTCTCTCTGTGGCTCACATTGCATTTATAACAGTCAGCAAGCCTCTCCCAGAATGGCATTTCAGTTACCCTTTTGAACAGCCAGCATGTTTTAGGAGGGAAGGAAGAAAGGCAGACAAATTATTAAAATATTGGGTGCATTATATATCATGCACTCTGACCTTTTCACACAGCCTTTTATTGCTGGAAACTATTTATGAAATTGGATAAGACCTTTCCGTTATGTTAAATAAGATGTGGCTGTACAGTAGACTTTTGACATTTGCTAGAATATTTTCTGAGACCATCTCCATTTCCCCAATTTTGGAAATGTTTTTATAGATTAGCAGTTGACTTTCTTTTGAGGCCATTTTACAAGGAACATTTAAAAAAATCTATTTACGATGATAAAGTGCAACAGAACCTAAATGAGATTTGTACACTGATGAGTGGGTAAGCACCCAGATCACCTGAGTGACCTGGTGACCTGCACATCATGAAGCAGAAATTTTTCAAATTTGCCTCAGGAGAAGTATACATGACTGCATGTCAGAGACCTTTAATGTCTCTTCATGTTGAATTTTCAAATGCCATGGTACCGCTTTAGACCATAAAGGGAATTTATATTGTCTTCTTTGTTCCTTTTAGTCACTGCCCACCTCGCCTCTTTTTCTTCAGCACAAAATCTGAGCTGCTCATTTAGGATAGATCTTGTTGTGTTTAGTGAAAAAAGTCATGATAGTCTTAATGAAGAAGGATAGAAGCCCTATTTTGTACCTAAAAACAACCATCTAACACTTGAGTTCTTACGATGTGCCAGGTATTGAGTTATGCACGTTTCTTTACCTTGCCCATGCAGTAGAATCAACCACAGAGCTTTTTAAAAATACAGATATTAAGGTCTGAGCTCAGACCTACTGAATCAATCTGGTGATGGGGACCTAGACTCATAGCTACCTCTTTCACCACTCATACATATCCCATAATTCTCCTACCTAAGCTAGGTGGTAGTTTGCCTTGTGCTGTGCCTGTGGAGCCTGGCTCCATTTAGCAACTTTCCCAGGGTCATACTGCTGCAGAGCAGAGGAACTTTAAACTCAAGTCTTTTGGATTCCAGATTCCAGTGCTCATGTTCTTTCTACTGTGTAATAAGCTTACAGTTTTTCAAATGCTAAAAAAATTTAAAAATAATAATAAATTATTCTTTGTAGGTTTTTTTTTTTTCTATTTCCAAGATTTCTCCCTGATATCATTGGTTCTACTGTGAGTTCTGTTTAAATGAAGAAAATATATATATATATATATATATATATATATATATATATAAAGGATTTTCTTTCTGTAAGCCCCTTTTATTTTTCTGATTCCTGCATTTACCAGTTTCTCCTCGATTTCTCTAATCTAAAACACAAAACAAAACATGGCATTCAAACTATCTGTCCTTTCAAATTGTGGTTCTATTCTCTGGCAGAGCCTGGCTTGAAAGAGGGATAAAAAAATGTGGTTCAATTGTTTTCTTTCTTTTTACCATCAACTTGCAGAAATAGCTTGATGACTTGATTTTCTCAACACTGGCTCATTTTTTATTAAAAAAAGATAATAGTTTTTTAACTGTAAAAACAGAACGTACTTACTGTTAAAAAACTGGAAAATTAATAAAGAAGGAACTGAAGGCATTGACCCTGTTGCTCAAGCCAGAAACCTGGGAGTCATTCTTGGCTCACTCCCCTTTGATTTTCACATGCTGTGAAATCCCAAACAAGGCCTTTGATTCTACCCCTTAAGGATCTCTCAAATTAATTCTTTTCATTCGCAATGCCCTACTGATCTGGGCCTCCATTGTATGTTCCCTGAATTATCATACAGCTGCTCAGCTGGTCTTTCTAATTCTGGTCTTGACATAACCAGTCCTTTCTTTACTTTGTAGCTGTAGAGTCAAGCCTTTTTCTAAATGAGGGTGGCAGCACACTGAAGTAGGTGTCCAGGCATTGGAGTCAAAGGACCTGGATTGGAATCCTGGGCTTCACCAGGATTAGCAGTGTAACAGGTCAGATTACTTTCCCTCAGCAAGCCTGAGGGAAATAATAACAGTTGTTACTTTATATGACTTCATAAGACTCTTGTTAGGATTCAGTGAAGTCACGTACATAAAGCAGTTAGTACAGTGCCTGGAAAATGGCAAGCATTCAATAAATGTTGCAGTGCAAATCTGACTGTGTGAGCTTCCAGCAGAAACCTTCACTGGGTTTCATGGTATTCCAAGGTTAAATCTACTCTAACATGATTTACTCAGGCCTTTTATGACCTACCTCTCTGGCTGTATCTCCTATCTCCCTAGTTGTACCATTCGTTCTAGCCTTACAGAACCACACTTCTTTCCCAGAGTGCACAGTATGCTGAGCCTTCTCCATGATTTCCTCAACCTGTATATGTCACCTTAGATAACAGTTTCTCCAGGAAGCCTTCCTGATTATCTTTGGCTTGGTTGGCTACCTTGCTTTATGTTCCCTATGTGAATGCTTTTCCTACTAGCTATATGTAAATTTTTCTTACTGTAGTATCACTTGTTTAGTTGTTTATCTCCATGACTTTTTATCTCTAGCCTTCAGCACAGGTCCTGGCATATAATAGATACTCTTCATATTTTTTGAGCCAATCAACTAATTGGTCAATGTAATTTTATACTGTGTATTCCAGTAAAGGTTTAAAATGGCTAACATAAATATGTATCATATAATAATAGCGGTACCCCAGCCTGGTCAAAATGGTGAAACCCCATCTCTACTAAAAATACAAAAATTAGCCAGGCATTATGGCACATACCTCTTAATCCCAGATATTTGGGAGGCTGTGGCATGAGAATCACTTGAACCTGGGAGGTGGAGGTTGTAGTGAACTGAATGAGATTGCACCACTATACTCCAGGCTGGGTGACAGAACCAAGACTCTGTCTCAAAAAAAAAAAAAATAGTAATAATAATAATAATAGAAGCACCAAAAGTAAGAGAAGAAATCAAGGTAAAGGGAAAATAGGGGTAAATTTAAAAAAACCACACACACAGCTAGATCTGAAGGTAGTATACAAAACATAAGGTTCTACATTCCTGTATAATATGGGTCCAAACATTGGCCCTGAGCTTCTGTCCCTTTTATACAAGGAAATCAAATGGTATCATTGACAAGGTTTATAAGATCAAAGGAAACCAGATGATTAGAAGAAGCATTATTGAAAGACTTGAAATGTCTTCCATGGTTCTTTACAAAGAGGACATTGTACATTTCATGGCCAAGATCCTGAACAGCATCTTTATCGGAAATGTAATGAAATTTTAGTTACTCCACATAACCTCATTGTGGTTGTCCATGTTGGCTAATGGAATAAACACATTCCATTACATGAGAAAGAGCAGTCTCATAAAAGCTCAAAACACTGGGACCCTACATGGATTTAGAGTGTCTCAACTCTAAAGGTATGGATAGACTGCATGTCCTTCAAACCATTCTCCATAAAAAGTATTTCACTCACTGAGGACTGGATGACAATTAGTTTACACTGAGTTCGATTATTCTTTGTAAGGCATCTGTTTTACAGATATTTTGTGTCATGAGTTACATGCGGCAGAGCCAGGAGCTATAGTAGTAAGTGGATCTAGGAGTTGGACTAAGGGAATTTAAAGAGCTTACTGAGATTTCACACATGAATTGAAGCCCTACCTCCAAACTGAGGTCTGCTAGCATGTCCTTAGAAAACAATGGCGAGTATGTGTTTTTGTATCCGCTACAACACTTGCACATCATAAGTGGAACACTGCTGGAAGCTCAGGTCCTTCTCCATGTGGCTTTTTTGGTCTTCTTTATTGCTGTGACTTTGTGCCCTTTCTTCACACCAGTCATGTGGGACATACTTTACTCATGCTGTTTCTTCTTCCAAACTGTTCCCATTCATCTGGCTAGCTCCCATTGTTTTCTCCAGACAGCTTAAGTGTCTTTTCCGCTTCAAACAATTTTTTGACCCCTCCAGGTTATTGGAATTCCCTCTTCTTACTCTCATCATACTCTATACATTTCTGTTAATAACCAATAGTTTTTTGGTGGCTTTTTTTGTGTGTTCATCTCTCTCACTGGATTTGAGCTCCTTTAAGATAGAGAAACTGTGCCATATTTGTTTTTATATCTGAGGTCCTAATACCATGCCAGAAATATTACAGGCACTCAGTAAATTTATAGTTTGATACAAATCTTTAAAGATGACCTATTTTTAGCATCTCTGTCATACACACATATGCACGTCTGATTAGCAATTTTTCCTACCCCCATCAGTCTAGTGATCAGACACTTACAGATTTTATTTTATATGGCGTTCTTTCATTGCAACAGAGATGAGATTTATGTCCGAGCCAGAGGACCATCTGGGGCAGATGCACAACAGATAATAACTGCCTTAAGACAATCTCTTCTTTTTTTAACTACTAGAGGGTAAAAAGATGTGTTATTTTTCTAGATTATGTATAAGAAGAGAATTACAGAAACGAAACGTGTTATTTGTAACTTTAAATGAATAAGGTCTTGGCATTTGATCTTGTAAAATTCAGTATGGAAATGTGGTTTTTAATTAATTAAATGTTTATTTGTATCTCAGTGAGTTTCAGATTCTAAGATGGTGTTAAACAGATGGTTATGTAGCCTTGTGTCTCTCTGAACCACTTGACTTCAATAGGAGAAAAAATTTGCCTTGAGGTTGTTATATACTGTTTCTCTAACACCAGCCAGCTATAAAAATGCCTACTAAGGCCGGGCGCGGTGGCTCAAGCCTGTAATCCCAGCACTTTGGGAGGCCGAGGCGGGTGGATCACGAGGTCAAGAGATCGAGACCATCCTGGTCAACATGGTGAAACCCCGTCTCTACTAAAAATACAAAAAATTAGCTGGGCATGGTGGCGCGTGCCCGTAATCCCAGCTACTCAGGAGGCTGAGGCAGGAGAATTGCCTGAACCCAGGAGGCAGAGGTTGCGGTGAGCCAAGATGGCGCCATTGCACTCCAGCCTGGGTAACATGAGTGAAACTCCTCCCAAAATAAAAGGTAAAAAAAAAAGGCCTACTATTTTGAAAGGTAGGTCTGGGTTATAATGATTGCATGTCTTATGGCACCATTAATTAAAAATTCTCAAAATATGTGTTCTTTATTAATTAGGTGATTATTTTCATAGATGAGTGAAAATTACATATGTGTTATATTTTACTCATTCATCAGTCATGTCTGTGCCTAAATATTGGTGTCCTATATATTGTTTAATATTATTTTTTTAAGAGTAACACACTGAAAAATGCTGATAACTATGACCTTTACAAAATGTGTTTGTTTCAAAATTCAGAATTTTGGAAGCAGCTTTTGTGAGTAATATTTGTGGAATTGCCTTAGAGTGATGACTTTCTGTAGACTATGCACTGACCATAAAGAATATTGTTACATACATTGAAATATTTTTGTCAGTTTCCCATTGAAGGGCGAACATGAGACATAGAAAACAACTGCAGAAGGTGTGAGTAGCTGTGCCATCACGATACTATTACCTCACGGTGTGGCAGATGGGCACTGCATGTAATTTATGTACTTAGAATCTCGTTTGCAGTAAAACAGAGAAGAGAGTTTCAGACAAGTATGCAAATTGTATGTAACAATATACTTTAGCTTCCTGTTCATATGAAAATCAAATTTCTCAGCAAAGGTGAGATTTTGGCCTGAGTCTAAACCCTGTGGACCTTTGAATTCAGAAATTCATCTTAACAGGAGCTAATGCCTGCCTTTTGGTTTTACATAGTATGTAGTTTCATAGTGAATGTATATACATCTTTTTTGGGTTTGTCCAAAAAAGGTTTACCTTGTTTCTTCTTTATTGTTGACATATGTTTATTTCATTATTTATAAAGGCTGTGCCTTTTCTCTTTTAGCTTTATAGATTTTTTTCCTTATTCAAAATATTCTGTCTGCATTTTTCTAATTATTGGAACTTTTTTTTGCATTTTTTCATAATTGATATTTGTGTTGAATATTGCAAAGTAATGTTAAAACAGTACTCACTTGCTGGAGTATATGTGTGTACACATGCAAAGCCAAGTTCATATGCTTCATTGTAAAAAATATGAAACTAAATACAGAAATTGTTTACTTATTAATGTTGAAGATTACTTGCATAGCTCTCTAAATGAAAGTCGTTTTCTTCATTTTATTTTGCACAGATATTTTCATGTTATATAAAATTATATTAGTATATCATGTAACAATATATTATTATACATATTTTGTCACATAGGCTCCCTATACATATCTAACTGCTAAAAAGCATGCAAATTCACCTTGTCATAAAATCTGGGCTGAGCAAAACTAGTCCAGGTTCATTTAGGGTAAGTTGGCTCCTCTGTACTGCATAAAGTATAAGACGTTGAAAGAATGTCAGTAACTGCTAAATCAGCTGCCTTTCCCTAATGAAGTTATGTGGGAGAGTAAAGCGTTAAGTGTCCTCAGTGGCTTTCACTCCCTCCACACAAGAGTATTGTATTTGACCACATGGGGTAAAGTCCAAGGATTATCCTACCTGTACACAAAATGCATATTTTTAAGTGTTTTATTTTGTGATAACTTATTCCACATAATTTCATTGTGGTTCACTCATCTCTTTTTCATAGGAAATGATACTTGAAAGAGAAATTAAAATGAAACTACTGATTCACATTTGTTTCTCAATATTGTTTTATGAAGTACCTTTTCCAATGAAAAGTCTCATTTGGTTATAATACACTAACAGACAGTAATCTACATTGTGTTGCATGTTTTCATTTTAGTATTTTTCCTTGGGAAAAAAATAGCTTTCTTTAATCTGTTGACAGCAAGCTTCATATTTATGCTATTTGTCTTTTTCTCTGACCAAGGCCATTATCTCTGTGGTTCATGATACATGCCTGACTTTTATGGCTGAAATATTTTTCACAAACCTGAGTATTGTTAAATAAACATCTGTCTCTAATTCCTTATTATTTACCATATATAACATTTTACAATAATCTACCTACAGTACGTGGGTATTTTTCCTTGCCTTTCAAAGTATGAGGCTGCCACACAATTTCTTAGACATTAAATGTGACAAATTTGTGTTGATAGTTATTTGTCTTATCTCTAGGTTCACAATCACTTTCTTTGAAGGGACATATTTTCTCTCCAAAAACTTTGAATGCTTTGGATTAATTTTGCATTGTATAAATGTAGTCTGAAAGTAATTTAGGGTTCCATGTAGAAATTCCAATAACCTGTGAGACCGTAGTACCAAAGTTTAAAAATCCTATTGTATATTCATAGTTTATTTATGACTTACACCTTCCTGTTTCATCATAGAATTTTAAATGCCCTTTAGCAGAAGATAAATAAGTGAAAAGTGGCCCAGTGTGGCAAAGTCAGGTAATAAAGTATGTGTGTACATAAGGCTTGAAAGGAAGGCATATTATCCAAGCTAAGGAAAGATGCTGTAGTCAAGCATGAGCCTTAGCACTGATCTCCTTGGAAGTCAAGGCATAACAGGTCTTCCTGTATTTTTCTCATTATGTTAAGTTCTTGGAGACTTACAGTGGTAACAAGCTAACTTGCAGTAGAAGAAGAAATATTAGTGCCTTTTCTAGGCACAGTTATCACTCATTGGTAGAAGATCTATGTTCAGTTAACCAGTGTCTCTCAAAGCTAAAAAACAAACATTCCTATTTTTGCAGACTGATCTTAGATGTCCTTATTATAGAAGATCTACCAACTTGACCATGACATACTTCAAGAGAGGAACTTATACTGTTCCTTAAGTGAGTTCGTGGAAATTACTCATAATCTATAATCCATAGTGCCTAAAAAGAATTGAACACTTTTTTTCTATCTCATAGATTTACTTGTTTTAATTCAGAGTGGTGTCTTAATGACCACAACAGTTTCATAATATTAAATCCAAATGAGGTTACCAAATAGTTTACCAATTAATTTTAGTTATGGAAATTATTAATAACCTTTT